AAAGCTGCCACCTGAGTTGGATTTGAGGGGGTGCAGGGGTGAAGGCTGGCACTGGGTGACTGCATGGCGCTGGGTTAGGAATGCATTCTGCCCCACCACACGTCGTAGGCCTTTCTTCCCTCAAATATTGAGTAGCTAGCCTTTTGCAAACTTTTCTTTATCCTTCTGGCCAACAAGGAAATTTCACTTCAGGACCAAAAAAAAAAAAAAAAGTGACAGAACCCGGCAAAAACAAGTCCTCTCTCACTACCCTGGATTCCTGCCGCATAGTTTTTCAAAGGCCAGTCTCAGTTCCCTCAGCCCCACGATGCATGGAGATCACAGCTTCTCCCTAGTCAAGTAAATGTTGTTAACTTTTCACTTCACTTGGACTTAGGAAATGTATGTCCTACTCTCTAACTTTGGGAGCAAGGGTTATCGAGGGCTTCCGAGGAGAGGTTGCTGGGTTGCCTTTTGGCAAATGTAAGCGGGCCGGCGCTCCCAGGGGAAGAGGGGTCTGCTGCTTGGAAGGGCTGCGCTGTCATGCGGGGACATGGAGTGGCAGAGCAGGAGTTGACTCCCTCTTCTTGGGCAAATCACCTCTCTGGACCTCGGGCTCTCCATACCCGAAATCTTTCCCTGCTTCCACGGATGATGCTCAAAGCTTTGGAAGCTGAAATGGCTAAAGCTTCGGGCAGGTGTTCTCTTAACAGATGTCTGTGCATGTGCAGAGATGCTTCTGTGTCAGCATAACCAGACTCTGACTGTATCGCGCGTCCGTAGGTGCAATTGTGTGGCGATAGTATATGAAGATTATAGTAAAGTCACAGAGAATGAGAGTTCGGAGAGAAGATAAAATAAAGGAGTCAGACACATTTCATGGTAGCATGCTCACCTCCTGGACGGCCATGATCTCAGCCGCCAGGTCCACGCAGAGAGCGGGAGGAGGAGAGGAGAGCGTCTTTATTTCTGACCGAGGCCCATATATACTTAGGGGCGTGAAAGCCCCCCTGATTACAGGTAACCACATACGTCACAGGAAGGGATTGAACCATAGGCAATACAGCAATGCAATGAGAGGGGGATGATCTAGGGGTGTACACGCCATAAATAGGAAGGGGAGGGATTAGGGGTACACATGTGACAAGATGGTGAACCCTAGATTCAAGATGGCAGCCTAACCTTGGTCATCCTTTAGTGGGCTCCATCTTGTGTCTGGGCTCTCCTTCAGGGAGGCGATGCACTATCTTTATCAGAAGGGGTGGGCCCTACTTAGGGTGGGACAGACTATACAGTCTGATTGCTCAAGGTGGCTGAGAACCCTCAGGGAGGTAACCTCTAAGCAGCTTGCGTTGGCCTCCAAGTGCACAGTTATTTACCAGGTGTAGCAAGCAGCGCCTTAGGTCTGGCATATATTTGGGGGAGACAACCTGGGGAAAAACCCTTTTGCGTCCCACACTTCTGGATCCTGGGACACAGCAGGGAGCAGGTTTAAGTAAAGGTGTTTATGTTCTAGTGGTGGTGGGGACAGATAGCACAAATCTCAAAAAGTAAACAAATCCGTAATATGCAGGCAATCTGTAGAGAAAAATAAAGCCAAGGGCTTGAGGAGGGGTAGGGAGCGGTCAGAGGAAGTCTCTGAAGAGGTGATAAGTAGAGTCTTGAAGGCAGGCAGGTGGGGCAGGGTGATCGTGCAGAAATATTTTTGGGGTGGGGGAGTGAAAAGCCATTGAAGTCAGGACAAATTTGGTGTTTTTAAGGAAGAAAAAGGCCAGTGTGGAGGGTGATTAGAGGTGACGTTGGAGAGATAAGCCAAGTCACATTAGGTAGGGCCTTATTGACTAAGCTAAGAAACTTGATCTTACCGTGTATATATTGGAAGCAAGTTTTGAGCCAACAATGGACCGTCCAGGCTTGCCTTGTTTTGTTTTTAATCATTTTATTAGGGGCTCATACAACTCTTATCACAATCCATACATACATCAATTGTGTAAACCACATTTGTACATTCATTGCCCTCATCATTCTCAAAA